GCTGAAGCATCTCCAACAATGCCGAGTCCTCCAATCCCTGGCATGCCACCGGCTCCTCCGACTACAGCGGCCGCACCGATCCCAGGCATGCCAGGGAGCCAGCAGCAGCCGGCGACAACGAACGGTGCCGCCGGTGGAATACCGAATCCGGGTAGTTTCGAAGATTTATTCAAGAAAGTTAAAGGTAAATAATGCGAGTACCTTTTGTAGGCACCTAACAGAAAACATTTTGAACTGTATGAAAAATAAAAGCATTCTGGGAAGAGTTCCATGTACAGAAGACACAAATTTTCCCTTAACCCAACCCCCTTCATGCCCTAGCCTAGGGACCATTGAAATTCTGCATAACGTTGTTGGGTTCAGCATGTCAGGGTTAAATTTTATGTTATAACCATGATTTTAACTTTGTCATTGATTAACCACCTTTAGGCGATGTTGGAAACGAGTCCCAAAAAGTGAAATTTGGCTGAGAAAATTCCGAAGCATTCAGGCCTAACATTACTTAAAAAAGACAGACAAGTCCCATAAGCTAGGTTTGTGCACAGGGCCTCGGATGTCCATATATGGAACCCTTTCTATTTTGTGTTAAAAATTAAATAGGTCTAGGCCTAATGCTACTTTCAGTCGGGCCTAGGCCTATTTAGTTTTACTGCTAAATTTTACCATGTTGACTTTTTATGAAAACAATCGCAAGGGGATAGGCCATAGTATGATCGATGTCCGAAAACGAACTTTTAGTTAAATGTAGCAAGTCATTTACTTTCCTACGATCTGACGGTCATGACAGGATAACAAAAATTTGGCTGTTACATGTACATGTGTGGCTGTTCAGAATGTTATTTGTTGTTTGTCATGGTTGTTGTTTGATATTGGAAGGGACTAAAATGTGTTTTTGGTTTAAAAATAGGCCTACATATAATGTAATCCTCTCTGACATCACTGACATGACTGATGTTATTGTGTGTGGCTATTCACACCAGTGTCGTGTTTGGGGCATGCTTGTGCTCTCGACGGTGACCCGAAACAAGTTGCTGTCTTATTAGTTCAAGGTTGTTTTTTTCACAGCCTGCCATGGTTTAGTACTGCTCAATATATGTCCATGTACAGTGTATGCCTCTGGAAACATGGCAGTATCGGTCAGACCAAACACGAACCAAAGGTTTGAGTTCGTTTATTGCTGGTAAGATAGCGGAAATTCTTAAAGGAGAGAGGACCACTTTTATCATCCCCAAAATAAAATGAGCAAAAACATTTGATATCCATGTGTTTTGTAGTTTGTCCAATAGTTAAACACTGAGACAGCTGGTACCAACAAGGCGTCAGTACACAGTTAAATTAAGAAGTGGAAACCTGCATGAACTTTGTGTGTTACTTACCCAGCTTACTGTAACTTTGCTCACTCTCCATGCAGAGATTTTTCCTCAGCCCATCGAGGGCTGTAAGCTGGTCATCAACAAAGGGTTGAGCAACCACTTCCAGATCAGCCACACGCTGTCCCTCGGCGCATTCAGCCCATCCTCGTATCACTTTGGGACGACGTATGTCGGCACAAAACAAATCAGCCCCACAGAGGTAAACATGAGACCGCGTGCGGTCCGTATTCTTCAAGTATGGTGGTAGAGTGGAATGCAAAATTCAACAGGTGGTACTGTAACCCTGAGGTTCCCCACCAAAGCTTGAGGGAAATCGCCTGTTTGATTTTGCATTCTCCTTTTACGTTGGTTAGAAACTAAAGACAGGGACCTTTCAAAATAATAACAAATTGGCACTGTAATGAGGAACTCGCGGAGGGTCTGCTTGGAAATGGTGCCTGCTATAAACATGTGGAGAATATACATGTATGTTGCTTTTGTGGGGGGAACAGAATTGAACAAATTCAGTTAAAACCTGTGATCAATAACGAGATCTTTAGGATAAGCACATATGTGCATGCCAATCAACGAAAGTTATTTGTGTCAACCATGTGGGTCTAGCCTGTCAACACTGACAAGTTGCAATGCTGGTTTCTTTGGTACCGATAGAAAGAGCTTTGATGATGGTTGACCACAGCATCAGTGGACCGCCCTAGGCCCTTTTGCTAGGGACCCTCCTCAATCCTCCAGAATCCTCCAATTTGGGGAGTGAAAAAATTGGATTCTCCCTTAATCCTCCGAAATTCTCCAAAATTTCTTGAAAATGTTACTCGGAGGTGTGCCTACTGCCTCAATCCTTCAAAATCCTCCGACAATTTCTGTCATTATGTTGAGGCAGTGTGAATGGCTTTCTTGAGCAGTGTGGTTAATTCAAAAGAAATATCGGGCTGAATTTATGCACGACTAAGCAAAAACAACACAAGGTCTAACCCACAACCTTTATCATGTTTATGCATGGCATCCTTTGCAATAAGCCATGAACTTTTCTATTCACCCTCAATCCTCCAAAACCGCCCGAAGGATTTTGGAGGACTGAAGAAGGTTAGGGATAAAGCACTACGCTAATTAACTCTTTTTGTCACTGATACTTTTTGCAACATGTTCAAAGAAAGCCATGCTCCCTGCATGCCCAGAAAGAAGTAGGATGTGTGCTTGAACGATTGCTTGCCAAACCTGAGTCTCACTCCGTCCATTTGGAGACCTAAAAATAAGCTGATTTTCCGTCATCTCAGATCAAATCCAACCCAAGAACGTCTAGTGGGTCTTAACATTCCCCTCTTTTGATCAAGTGTTCCCGACTCCCCAGTGCACACGGACATAACATTGAGAATGCTGTTTATTCTTACCAGAAATGAATCGATGTTGAAAACTGCAGCTTTGTCTTGAAAAGCTTACATTTCCACAGTCAGGAGCAGAGAAAAAGTACTGAAGTAAAAGTACTGCAGTAGAACGGATAAACATATTTACAAATGCAAAAAGAAAAAAGTACTAGAATGCAAGTACACGTGCAATTTCTACAGTGCAGATCAGAACTACATGTACAGGTGCATGTAGAATGCACGTAGAGCATGTAGAGTTTCTTCCCTGAATTGCTCCTGAAACTTGGAGCACCTTTGGAAGTCTTTAATGGCAGCAGTTATCAAAATTTATATCTTGTTGTTTGCCACAGGCATTTCCAGTCATGCTGGGAGACATTGACACCAGCGGCAGCCTTAATGCGCAGATCATTCACCAGCTAGCCAACCGGTTACGAGGGAAACTGGTCGTACAGGTAAGCTATCAACTCAGGACTGGGCTTCAGCAGCCCAGTAGAAACCCCATCCACCAACACCCCTTGTGCACCTCACTCCTAATTGAAACCCTGAAATCAGTTTACAGTGAAGCAGTACAACTTGTGGTGGCGCACTATTGTGAATCGCCCGTACTATCGTGATTCCTACTCTTCCACATTGTACATCAAGGAACTTACATGTAGCTAACTGAGAATTTCAGTGTATGTACACCACAACACTACTGAAAAGTGCCGATGGTGTGGATAGGATCATCACTGTTGTAATCGTGGTAATTGGTGCTTTCATCCATCACAGACCCAGCAAACAAAGTGGGCAGTCTATCAGGGAGAGCTTGAATACAGAGGGCCGACCTACACGGGCACCGTGACGGCGGCCAACATCAACCTGCTGGATAACTCAGGCATTGTCGTGGGCCACTACCTGCAGAGTCTCACCGAGAGGCTGGCACTGGGCGCGGAGGTCTTGTTCCACTACGGGCAGGGACAGCGGGCGGCTGTTGTGTCACTAGCTGGCAAATATTCAAGTAAGTCCCCCGAGAAGTACATGTACATGTACGCGTGGACAAAGAGAGCAGGTACTGACTGGAAAGAACAGAGTAAATCTGGCCTACCCTCTCAATTCAGACTTGTTATCAGGAAACTTGCATTTGTTTTTTTTTTTCTTTCTCTTGCAGCTGATAAATGGATAGCCTCAGGGACCGTCGGTATGACGGCGTGTCATGCAGCGTACTACCACAAGGGTAAAGACGTCCAGTATGGTGTAGAATTCGAGAGCAACTTCCGAGCTCAGGAGAGCGCCGCAGCGTTCGGCTATCAAATAGATATTAACCAAGCCAATGTTACAATGAAAGGTGAGTACATGGATGTTCCAAGGAAGAAAGATGATGATGATTGCTGTGATGTGGGATGCTCCTCTATTAGATTCAAAGGGATACAGGGCAGTAAGGAGGAAGCCAATGGGAGTGTGGGAGTTTGTGTATTTGGTATGTGCAGTAACCAAAGAGGGCGCTGTGTAGAGTGAACAGGTGCCATTCTATTGCCGAGATTTATGGGGTTTATATATGTACATGCTAAATCTGGAATGCATTTTGTATACCTTAGGTGGAGTTTCCTTATTTTTCTTATTATTATTCATGTCGCTTTCAGCTTTTAAAGACACCTGGGTCTTTGAACATTTTGAATTGTTTGTGTGGTATTCAAGCACTGTTGTTGTTGCGTTGTATTTTATGGCTGACCATTGGGTTTCCATGCGTATGAAGTATTTGTAGTTTGTTCAAAAACATGAGATACTCATATCATTGGATATCAATACTCATGAATTATTCATGTTTTCCTGCAGGCATGGTAGACTCCAATTGGACAGTGGCTGCTGTCATGGAGAAGCGGTTACAACCTCTACCATTCACGTTCCTCCTCAGCGCCGTCCTCAATCACTGGAAGAGTCAATACCGCTTTGGCTTTGGCCTCATGATAGGCTGAGGTCTAAGGTCGTCACTAGGTAGCCATTTTTTTGTATTGGTACAGAGTTACAGAAATAGAAATGGGATTATCTGACCTGCCGTTGTTACTGTCTTTTTGCATAATTATTTGAAAATCCCATTTTACCCACCATGGTTCCGTTTTTAATCTCAGCCTGGTAATTGTGTATCTTCCTCGTAATATAGATGATTCTAGTCACAATGGTAACGCTAGCACTGGCCATTCACAGTGGCCCCCGTCAATGGTGATAAGAGTTGTGAGTACTCTCTGAAGGAGACACTGTGCTGTGGCAGTTCCTCTTTGTCTTTGGCCATTGAAGGGGGCCATTACAAATCCGCAGCATTAACGTTGCTGAATTGTCTACAGGAACGGGGCACTGTACGGGGCATTATGATCGATCGCAAGTCACTGCTAGTCCATCACAAGTCATCTAGTCCAAGGCCAAGTCACAAGCTATTCAGATGGATGGACTGAGACAACAGCATTCCTCTGTTATTGTTAATCCTGTTACTAGTGAATGGGATTATCACCCCACGGCAGGCCTCTGTACCGATGATGACACACTCTGTTTACATGGAGCCCATGGGGTCCACTCAGTGCGCTGAGCACTATAGGGAAAGCACGCTCCTAGATAAAATGTGGCGCTAGTGCAGACGCCTTTCAAAAGGACTGGTGATGGACTTGACCACAGCGCTGGTACACGGGACCTTGCACATTACGAAACTGCAAATCCACTCCATGAACAAGTACCTTGTCACCTGTGACAGCAAGAGTGTCTTGGTGCCCTGTATGAACACAGCACAGATCCATGCAATGTCTGGTGTACTCCATGCCAACCGATAGTTGACCGCAGGGGGTGCAGTTCCAGGAGTGGTGCAATTACGGGCGTGGTTTCAAGAGATATCACTGAACGGCATTAGAGAGAAAAAACCTTGCTCTCTCTTTCGGACACATGACCTGCAGGATTCAAAGAGTTAGGTGCATGTATTCATTCTTGTTCCACTATATTTTGTTGGATTTGAATAGACCGGTCTGAGTGGACACCCACACTGCGGTGGCACCACTCTCGTGTTTATCTTGGGAACTTGAGCATGTGTACCGTTTTGAAAGTCACAACACCCTATTGGTCGAAGAGGAATGTAACACACACATCACCTGCATACGAGAGTAACATGCCACCGCAGTAATGACTTCAGTTCACTGAGTTCAGTATTTGAAAAAAACCAAGGTCCGTGGGGAACAAAGCATGCGCATGAGTCTACGTAGGGCCATGCCAAGAGGGCAGACCTCATCTGCATGTCAGTTGGACGCTGTTGGAGTACCATTCTGGTCCCAGTTCCTGTATTTGTCTGTCCAGATAGCGTAGTGTGTCTGTGTCCTATTTGCCCTCACACGTCTGATTCAAGGAAGATTACTGGTAATACGGAAGAGCTTTCTTTTTCCACTGAATCTAATCAAGCCAATTTGTAACATGTGACAAAATAACATAAGGAACACAGTATAAGAAAATCGGTAGTTTTCCAAAGAGCCGGTCTTGTTCCAATAACATTTCTATTTATGATTTGCGTGTAATTAATAAATTTGGTAAGTTCCTGTTTCTATTTCTGGGGTACTTTGTTTCAAACTTGGTATGCAAATATTCAGAACTTGGATCATTTCAATAAAATTATAACCTTTTTAAACATCCGTTACACTGATTGAAATGGTACTTGTGTGGGTCGTAGAGTACGTGTGGAAAGCACATGTTGTTAAGACACTGGAAACATTTGTTTTGACATAACAGTTGTAAATTCTCAGCTTTTGTTCTGAAGAATGTTTTGTAGACTGCCGCTTTTATTTATGGTGCATCTTGATCAGATGTTAACAGTGCATTAAAGTGTTTGTTTCAAACTTTTTTTTTTTCCTGTATAATGGCTTGGCACTTGCTTCATGGATCCAGCTTATATGCCTCCACTTTTTGTTTCAAGGAATGTTGCTTACAGCAAGGGTCATTGGCTGGTACACATGCCCACCTCCCATAACTACTAGAATCTGTGATTTTATGGCTGAAGCAGCGATGGTAATTCTTCATCACTGCCAAAGTTCAGAATGCTGGAAAATGGTTTCAACATACGAGATCTGACGTTCAGCCTTGACATACATCAGGTTAACCCTAACCTTCTCTAGCCACACAGAATCACAGAATTCAACACTAGTAAAGTGTGTGAGTTTGTGGCATTGGGTACTGGTAGCTTACCATCTGGTGTTTAATTTTGCATGAATGGGTACTGTGGGCCTG